GTTGCCAATTTTCAAGAACCAAAAAAAATGTATAATTTCACTTTCATCATATTTTTAGGTCTTATTAAAATTCTAATCATCACTTTTTAAAACAATAAATATTGCCAAGGAGTGAAGGTAGTTAAAATAATAGCAGTGTCAAGGGGAAAAACTGCCCTTTTGACACTTTTCTTTATTTTTTTTTTGCATGCACAGAGGTCCAAGTTTGCTGACAGGCAATTATTAGTAGATTTGTTCTTTATTGAGTACTAGCTTAAAAGCTGCACTCTGTGTGGATGTTTAAGCTAGCTCCTGCTGAGGGCTAATTGGATCTCTGGGCCAAAAGTAACGAGACGTCTGGTCCAGCTTAGAAAACAGCAATGATCATTTTGAAGAAATAACTTTGAATTCCTCAATTCACTCCATGGAACTTCAAAACCTCACTTTAACTCTGATTCGAACTAAAGTTTAATTACGTCCAAAAGTCTGATTTGAGCCGAAATTTGAGTTCTTCAAATCATAAATTCTGTGGAACTTCAAAACCTCATGCCACAGCACCTCTCACTTTATAATTCTGATTCCTTGGCATTTTGAAGAAATAAAATTGGTTTCCTCAATTCACAAAGTTTTGGAGATATTTTAAACTGAATTTATGTTTTAATGTTTAAATTCAAAGTTTTTGTGTTACTTTAAATTCAATGTAAATTAAAAACTTTTAAAATCACTAATTTTTCTATTTTAAAATTTGAATTTTTAACTGTTTTCTCCTTATCTGGACACAAATTCCAATGCTGCATGTTCAAGTACCAGATGAAGGGCAGATTTTCAATCCCAGAATCATCCTGAATCCAAAAAGGTATAATATGTCTATATAGAACAAGTGTGGCCCAAGTTAGAGGGGTTTCAGACACACGGATGGACAGACAGAATTTGCCATTTATTTATTTAGATAGAAGATTTCATTACTGCTACCTTGAGAAAAAGTAGTTTCTGATCATATTTTTAAAATTCCATGAAAACATTTTGAATTTAAATGCATTGTACAGAACCTCAAAGTTGAATATTGGAAAAATAAAGATTTTAGGAAATGGTTGTACCAGTAAGAGATTGTTATAAAAATAAAACAAAAGTTTATGTAGCACAAAAAAAAATTATATCATTTTTAAAATCAATTTTCTAAGCTTGTGGATTTGATGGCATCTCATTGTCCTCAGGAAATGTTCTCCCGAACTGGCTCTTGTTTTCTCCAAACTCTACAAGGAATGCTTTGCTGCTTCTTGCTTTCCAGCTTATTGAAAATCTTCGTCTGTAGTTTCTGTTTTTAAGAAGTTTGGAGAAACTTCAGACTCCTCAAATTATCATCCTATTAGTCTTTTACTTCTTTTTGGAAGAATACTAGAGGTTCTAATTAATGCCAAATTGGTTAGGCATTTCAATTCACCATCTGTCTTCCCAAATCCTGTTTATTTATTGTCCCTTCTTCTCACTAAAGTCTTCTGATTCTTTTTCACTCACAGTAACCCTTTATTTCTTAGTGGTATTATTGTCTTGCTTGGGGTGAAATGATTAATGTGTGTGTGTGTGTGTGTGTATAGTTTCATTAAAAACAACTGACAAGATACTGCAGTTAAGTTTTTTTATTTTTCTTGTGTTCTTATAATTTTTTTTTTCTTTTCTGGACATAAATTATGTAGAAATTCTCCAAATGTTTTGTATGTTCAAGCACTTTTGTCTATACTTTTAGTCATTATCAAGGATGATTTTATTTTTATTTTAAACTTAATGTATGGATTGTTTTATGTCATTTGTATTTAATGAAACTTGTATAAAAGAGGGATTGCTACCCAAATACACAATAACACACATATACAGAGACAATTTATCCATCGCACACTATATATATATATATATATATATATATATATATATATATATATATATAGGCCCTTCTAGAGACTCTAAAGAAATTTCAGTTGATGAATAGCTACACTTGGTATATACTTAAACATCTTTTTTGTCTAAGACAAGCAATCAACTTTAAAGCGTGGTTGTCAGGAAGAGAAAAGCCTCAGATATCAACATCAAATAAGTACAGAAGTTTAAATATCTGAGAATAGAGGATGAAAAATACGACACTGAAACCAGAATGTACATAGAATTAACAAAAGATGCTTTCTAAAAACTAAACAAACTAAGAAACAGGAAAATTTCATTAGAAACAAAGAAAACAGTGCTGAATTGCCATGTGATATCAATCCTCTTGTATAGCATTAAATGTTGGAAAATCTCCCCACAGTTGAAGAAAGTGAAAGCAACAGAAATGTGGTTCTACAGAAGGATATTGAGAATTTCAAGGTCAGAGTGAGGAAGCAACAAGGAAGTGGTAACAAAAAGAACACTTAGAATCACAAAAAGACAACTGAAATTTCTTGGACACATAAGAAGGAATGAAGACTTGGAAAACTTAACTCTCACAGGGGCAAGATAGATAGAAGGCGGCAAGGGGCTACCTACTTGATGAACTCGTGTGAATGGATGACTGACTGGAGGTGGGATGCAGAGATATGCTAATTATGGCCATAAGGGATAGGAAGTTGTGGAAAGACATAATCGTCCACGTTTAAAAGGGACACAGCACATAAAAGAAGAACCAATCACCAAGTGGTGGGATGTTTTCCTTTTAAGGTTGGATTTTTTGGTGCATATAACAAATCATACATATTTGCATGATTGGAGAATATATGTTGACGTGTCAACTTTGTCTTTTAAGAAAAAAGAAGTGATACTACCCCATACACATTTTAATTACAGACTAAAATTTAACTTGTTAGGTAATTAATTAACAACTAAATAATTTGATTAAACTAAAAAAATATTATTGTATGTAAAACTATTTTATCTTGTTACTTTTTTAAAATTTTTACAAAGATGTGCATTTTCCTTTCAATTGTAAACTGTAAACACAAAAAACAATTGTCCTTGATCTTTATTGTCCGCATACAAAACAGTTTATTTTTCTTGGTGTTTTAAACGAATCTGACATACCAAATACTGATTTGCCTCCCTTACATACCGCCATAACTTTTTGAAACAGACTCATATTCTGAACTGAACCTTTAAAAAAATTTGAAACAAGTCATGAGATTTTGGAAAGCAATGTATTGTGAATGTACTAAAATGTGATTACAAGTACTGAATTATAATTCATTTTTTTTTTTACTTACAGAAAAAAATAGTTGAAATAAATTATATTGCATTTCTAACCTTATTTTTCGTTTTTGTTTTTTCGAATGTATGACTTTTCAAATGGTAAAAAAAATGTAAAACCGGGGATACGAGTCTATTTCGAAAGACATACCTGATAAAGGAATTATCAATGTTTGGCATGCAAGATTTGTTGTATAAAATGCTGAACATCAGTTTCAAATTTCATAAGCAATTGAAGACTTTTTTTTTAAAATCACATGTAAAGGAAATGCAGGTCGCCAAAGGATGATATTAAAAAGGCAAACTTTACTATTACTACGCGCTACAAAGAATAGGAAGTTGTGGAGAGCCATAATCGCTCAAGCCATGAAGGAACACGGCACATAAATGACGATGATGGAGGAGATGCGACAAGTTGATGTATCTGATAGTAATAGAAAAATAAATAAATAATAAAATATAAATTCACAGAAGGCAAATAAGGTTGAACTCCCTCCTCTTGTTCCAACGTTGGGTGGCGACCGATTTTTCGGTACATGTAAAATATTGTGGTCCGTGCTGAAATGTATGTGACGTCATAAAAACATGTGAATTCACACTCTGCTGGCAGACAATGTCTCTTAAATTCTTTTCAGTACACCAACATTTCTATCTTCATAAAAATCCAACAATAGTTGAAAAGGAGAAGGAGCTACGTTTAATCAAGTCTAATTAACGAGTTTGTGCACATATTTTATTTCTACACGAGGGCTTCGTCAGTTAGAGATCTTAGACAATGCAATCCGTCTTATTTGTAAAAAAAAAAAAAAAAAAAAAAGATTGATTACAACAGCAGCACAGAATGTTGTCAAGTGTAAAAAACTTATCACAACAATTAATCTGTTTTTAATCGCTACATAGAAACTGGTGAGTAGCCCGAACTGTAAAGTTGGTAGGGTAGAGAGATCATCAATCTGAGGTCGCAGCAAGTTGAAAAAAATATATCGATTTCAAATCGAGACAAAAAAAATCTAATGAATGTATTGTATTTTTATTTTTTTTTTTTTACTCTGGGATCAATATTTACTTTGCAAACAATGCTAAATTAAACTTATTTTACAAAAATGACTAATTAGGGTCCAATGAAAAGTTTATAGCAACACGACTCAACCATACGAAAGTTGTTTTTTTTTTTTAAGGGGGTGGGGGAGAAATAAAACAAAAACTATGTTTTCTTCCGCTCTTAGGATTTTAGGACTAGTCACTAACTGAATAAGTAGTGATAGTTAATAATATTCCAATAAATTCTATAAATTAAATAAATATCTAGAGGCGAAGGTCTTTTGCAAGTGATGAGATGACAATTCATCACTGTAAGTGAATTTAAAATTTAAATTCATCACTGTGTAGTAAAGTGATGATTTTTTTTTATATTATAAAAAAATAAATAACGCTAAAATTTTTAACTAACTCGCTCATTAAAGATAAATAATATTATCTATTTTTAACGAGAAGAAAGTTAAAAATTTTAGTGTTATTTTAAAAATACTAATTATAAAAAAAAAAATAGAAAAGAAAACAATGAAGCGGTTATCTTTGCACGTAACAAGAAGAATGTCATAAAAACATTGCTAGTCTCTAAGTCTGCTATAAGAAGAGTGATGGCAAATTTTTCTTGGATCTGGATTTTATGGAGTATTTTTATTTTATTCTTTATCTTTTGGAGATAAGACTTGAAGTGGTAATTAGTTTCAATGACCGATTTGATATGATGAAACTTTTTTTTCTTTTTAAAATAAAAAACTGATTTAAACGGGTGAAACTTTTCGACTTACCGAGTATAGCTGTTTGTTGTTCTTTGGACTCTGACGAAAGTACAGCTGCAACTCCAATGAATTCCTTTTCGATTGCAAACATTACAAAGGCATTCGCTGAAGCCACAAGAGGTTCACAGAAAGCCACACACCGACCTTGATTTATAGGGGTTGGTTTGTTCTTAAAAGTCTTAATACTTGAGATAAGACAACTAGCCGTAGCAGTCAAACTCTTCACACAGTGTTTAAACTGGTCCTGGTCAGCACGGTCCTTGGTCTGTTCACTGGCGTGCCGACAAATATCGGTCATTATGGCCAAATTCTTGGATAATGTACTACATATCTGGACCAACACTTGAGGGTTTAGTTCGTCAGTTTTTGATTTTTTTATTCTAGTGCAAGCAAGCCGGGCCTCGAGGCATGCTCTGCTGGCCTGGTAACGGTCAACTAAGCCTGGAATAGCCGGAGTTGTCCCTTCATGATTTACTGCCACTAAATAAGCCGAGTGTCCAGAATTTTCCGTAAGATCCGTGACAATATCAGCCAGTGTGTGTATATGGTTCGGCATGTCTGCCCATTTAGTGTTGATGTCCGATGAAAGCATACTGCTGCTACTACTGGCCATGCTTCCACCATCACCTAATTTCGGACAACTGACCAGAGAGGAAGATAAGTTTTTGAGAAGTAGCAATAGAGATTGGGTTTTAAGAAGAGCTCCATCTCGACACCTGGTGAAGGTGACGGAGTTCGAAGCCAGAGGCTGGTTGCTGTTACCACTTACACAGTTTGGATTATCTTTGAAAACTGGTCGAGCATCACAAGAAAGAAGCAAGAGATCAGCAACCCCTTGCATTTTCATTTGGCTAAGTTCGCAAGCAACTACCACGGCACGATCATTGTCCACATTCATCCCCTTTTTTACATCACCTTGGACAACGCCAACAATACGATCAACAAGCATCTAACTCTTTGGGGCTTTTGTGTGTGTGTGTGTATATTGTTATGTTATCAATACTACTTCTCTCTCTGATGAATAGTACTTGCTTGAATAGGCTAAGGAGTAGAGGCAAGTAGTTCAAGTCAGAATTTAGAGCAGGGTAAAAAACATTAAGCAGTGGAACAATGAAAAATAAAAGATGAAGAGAAACAGTGTCACTGTTAAAAATAACTCGAAACTAGAAATTACCCAATTGATGGAATTGTCAGAAAATATATTTTTTTAATTATTTCATGAAAAAAAGCATCAATAACTCAATCCTTTGGGTAGGGGATTCCTAAAGGTTTTTTTTTCTTTCCTCATTCATAAGAAGCTGAAGAATGCATCCGATTCCTCCGATTTTTGTATTGAATTATTCTTGATTTTTAAACTGTTTTTCTGTCGCAATTAAAAAGGAAAACACGTTGTTTTAATTCTTTCGTTGGTTCAGTAATTAAAAATTCAGTTATAATCCGCTCCCAAAAGAGGAGTGAGTGATGAATAAAATTAAGTGTTACTGTTAAAAAAATGAATGGTAGATGTAAGGAAGAAAGGATGAGAAAGTAAAACAGTTGGGCGTTAAGAACTCAAATGGGATAGAACGACAAGAATAGTGAATGAAAGAACGAGTAAATCATTACACGAAGCACGTTTTTCACTGCTTTCACACATACACACACAATTCAAGGTTGAATTAATACGTAGAGAAAAAGGTGTATAGTATTTTTTAATGTAGTGATTAATGTTGATTTGACGTTGTTGTTGTCATGTAATAAGTAGTTAAACCAAAAAGCTGAGGCTTCTTTATTTGTGATAAAGAGAAGCGCCAATGATGACGAACGTGATGTGCTGCTTGTATTTTTTTTAAATACCAGTTGATGTTGTTGAGTGTCTTAGTTTTGGCAAAACCGTTTCTAGTCTGTTTTTACCCGTATATTGAGTTGCATAACGATAAAGTGTTCTTTCTTCCCCCAAGAAAAAAACTGTAACTTCATTCTGCCCATCGCTTTGTTTAATAAAGGAATTTTCTTTGTGAAGGAAGCTGAGTGTCAATCAACAGTAAACACAGATATTGGTACCAATGAAAAATTATGAATATTTTTCAAAAATAATATTTCCTTTGTCTCTTTTTTTTCGTAACTATGGATGTTTATGTTAATCAGTAGGTTATTTTCTTATATTATTTTTACTTATTTCAAGACCTTGTTTTTTTTTTAAAGTTAAAACACTGAAATCAACCATAAATATTTTGATTTAGGGTCATTTTTCAACAATTGCCTCTAGAGTAGAGTACATAACACAGTTAAAAAATCTTAAATCTTTTATAATAAACGATAAAGCTTTTTGTCGCCAATTATCGATTTCTTTTTTTTTCTCCTTAAATAAATTTAGGAGCAACCCAGGACGATGATGCTTGTGACCATGTTAGTTGATAAAGTTATCCGATTCCTCCCCAGCCCATGACGCCTTTTTTTCTCTTGTTATTATTTGTTGATAATGTAGGTGGTGGTGTTGTGTGCACTGTTTATGTGTGTGTCTGTCCGTCGGTCGGTCGGGCTTGGTGTATGCCAATCCCCCACTCGCTCGGTCGGCCGTCCTCCCAACATAAAAATCAACGGCAGCTGTCGTTGTCACATGTCGATTTACCACCACCGCCACCATTACAGTGACGTCATATCTCGTCAATAACTTCGAGATTGCACGAGACTTGATTCTCCCTCCACCATTATCGAGATTTTTTAAATAAAATTTGCAATTTAACATTCATTTACTTTTTTAAACATCCAAAAATTTAATTTTTTTTTCCAATTAGTACATTCTATTTTTTTTTAAATTATCATCTCTCCTACATTATTCGATCATAGTTTCATTTTTTACTAGGTTACCTATGCATTTCTTAACATTTATTTTGATTTAAAATTACTTTATTCAAAGAGACTTTTGTAAATAAAGCTTTTTCAATAACTTTAATATTTTTAATCGCTTTTGAAGTAGAAATTTTGCAGTATAGAAAAATGTACGTCCATCGCTTGTAGTTAAGAAGCCTTCCGAGTTAAGAAATAGTTCGAGCGAACTTATATTCTTGACGAAAAATATTTTCATATAACATTTTTTTTCTGAAATTGAATATACGTGAAATAATAATAAAGTATTCTTTATTAACCCTGAACTCAAATGATCACATTAGTCATAAAGCAGCAATCGAAGACCTTGAAATTCGAGTGGTGTTCACAAGTGAAATGTAAAGGCGCGTGAATACTTTAGCGAATGATTGCTGTGATTAGGTTGGTTTCCGGAACATGGTAAAGCTTACTTCGGAGACGATTGTTAAGTGGATTAGAGAACATTTAGGAAAAAATCCCGAAAATTGCTGGTCATATTTGAAGTTGTAGTGATAAAATTCCGGTAAGTGTTTGTGACGATTTTTGATGTGTTTACCAAAATGTTGTGCTGGGGAAACGGAAGTGAAGTAGATTAATGTCCTTTTCCGTTTTAAACACATGCAACTTCCGTTGCTTTTGCATAGCTTCGCAATGGCCGTCTCTTATGATTTTGGACATCGCCCGCCACAAATTCACACTGTTTATTGAATTTAACTTTCAATTATCGCTTCCTATTTACTTATATATCATTCGTTCTATTCTACCTCTTAACAGACAATTCAGTATGAAAGTTGAAAATGTCGTCTTCGCCTTTGTTCTAATACTTAAAATCTTACCGACTCCAGTGAAATACCTTGTAAAAATACCTCACATATTTTTTTACCTGACAACAAACAGTTACATAATTGTTTTTATTTTTGTCTTATTACCGCTTTACTTATTTATGTTTATTTACTAGTTTGTCTAGGCTATTCATATAATATTCACTATATTTTGTAAGATGATTCGATAGTTTTAAAGGTTATTCTCTTTCTTCCCTACATTTTGGAGGGAGCCATATTGCACCAAGATCTTCCACATGCGACACACTATGCCTTAATATTTTCATTTTGGTTAAAATTCTGAAATATTTCCCATCTCTAAAGTAATGACCCACTTAGTTTGTAATACCAATTACAATAGCTGGAATACTTTATGATTATGAACGATGTACCAATGCTCAATCGTGTAAAAACTTACTAAATGTAGTTTTTTTCTGTTTTCCCCCCTTTAGTTCATTTTCATTAACTGTTTTTTTTTCTTTTTTTTTTTTTTTTTTTACTTACGTTTTTTTTCATGGTCCTCCCTTTAACCAAGTTCAGACTTGTCTCAGAAATTTGTTTTTATGTAATTTTTAAAACATTCTTTATATTTAAATAGTTTTAAATCTTTTCTGCTCTCTGTCTTTATTTTTATTTATTTTATTTATTAGTAAATATTTTAAAAACTTTAAACTTTAGCTTTTTTTTCCTTATGATGCGGATGTATTGACTATTTTCATTAGAAATACTCAAATCAATTTAATTTTATGTATTCTTAATTCTCACTTTAGTGTCTATTTGAAAAATAAAGTTATATATGTCATTTTTAAAAGTTTGATCAAAGATCATTACATTCTTGAAATATTTCTCGTTTTTCTGGGTGGGGTACTAATTGTCGCTTGAAGATTGTAAGTGATTACTGACTAGTGGCTACTACTTAAACTGCTTTCGTGGACAATCACGAAAAAATATTTTATTCCTAATTTGTTAACTATGCATTTAAAGGTACAGTAACTATTCTGATTCGGCCTTTTTAACTCACAAGTTTGGGTCAACAACACTAATTTTCTCGCTTCAAAATTTCTTTCCATTCACTGTTATGAAGATTTACATTCGTTGCGTGATTGTTTCATAGTTGATTGTTATTTGTGTTGCGCTTGATCGTAATGGTTGTTAATGTTAAGCGTAGCGATTTTAATTCCTATTCTTTGAGTTTTTCATACTAAATATTTTTCTGCAAAAATCTTATTTTGAATTATGATTGATATTTTTTTTTTTTTTTTAACTAGCTAAACAAATTTCGCATACCAAACTCTGGATTACCTCCCTTAGATTTCTTTAATTAGCCTCATATTCAGATCTCTCCTTTGGGTTTGAAACATCATGCAGAAAAATAAAACTGAAAAAATAGAAGGTACAAAATCAAAAGTGCTACTAATAATGAATTATTCCCATCGTATACGAAGGAATGTTTATGGAGAAAAAAATGTTCGCAAAAGTCAAGATTCTTTTCTTGATTTGACCTCATTATCCCATATGTATTTTTTTCTCTTCACGGAGATTATATTTCAGTTTCTAATGGAAAAGTAATTAAAATAAATTATATTGCATTCTGGACGTTATTTTTCGTTTCAGATGTATGACTTTTCAACTCCAAAGGAAGGTACCCCATTTGAGAAGGGTTAAAGAAATGTAAAGGTGGTAATTCAGTGTACTGTACAGTATGCAAAAATTGTTTGGAGCGTTAAACTCGACAATATGATTAAAGTCATTTAGTGTAGAGAATAAGGATCTTTTTTTACCTTGTTCACTCATTTGATAAATTAAATTGTATGTCCGAAATCTGTGTGTGAGGGAGAGAGCCCTTTAAAATAATAAAACTAAATATTTTGCTCGTAAAAAGCTCGTTTTTTTTTTTTTTTGTCTAGTTAGATCTATCCATTTCAAAATTATTTCATATGTATTTTTAATTTGTCTGATATTTGTAACTTTTTACTGTATGAGAGTTGTCTCTTGTACTAACAGATAGTGGAAATATCTATGTGAGAATGGTGGACTACATTGTTTATGAAATGACCAAATCCGTGAAACAATAATTGGAAAATAATTTTTTTTTTTTTTTTTTTTTTAAATGTTTACATGAAAAATTACTTGAAATAGCAAGGAGGGATGAAAGTTGTATGCAAAGAGCTCATTGGTTGTTCTTTTAAATAAAATATATCAATAAAAAGCCATTTAGAGTTTTCCTAGTTGAAACATGGGATTGTGAATGCAAAGAAATAAAAACCTAGTCTAAAGAAAC